ATTACGAAGTAATTCATCAGTATTCTGCACCTTTAGTAATTATTCAGTGAAAGTTGATTTTTAGGGGTGACATCCACATGAATTGTTCCTATTTCTCCTACTATATCTATTTCTCTAGTCACATAGAATAAAGCGCTGATCATAAGTAGATCCTCAGCTACTGCAGTATAGGAAAACATTATATACCAAAGCAGATGGATTAAGAAAGACAATGTAAGAAAAATATAAAGAAATATGCTCAAGTCTTGTTGCTCATATTTTCACAATTATCTTCTTTCAGCAGCTCAGAAAACCTAAATAGCATGAGGGTCGCTTCTTGAAATTTGCCTTTTCTTCAGTTTTTTACCATTCTTCCATGAATATCTTAATGAGTCACTGGACCATATAGTCTATTCACAGGCATCTGCCATTGTTATTTACTTCTAGGATGGCTGCTGCTCCCAAGCTTCAGGAGACGTCTTGAAGGAACAAACCTGTTTCTTTGGTTTCTACTGAGGACATGCTGAGGCTAGGATTCTCTCTCATACTCAAAGATGACATGGAAGCCAAATTGTGCTGTTTCCAAGGTAAGATGCCTTAAAAAAAAAAAAAGTTAAAAATCAACCAGCTTTACAAACACAATACTCTAAAAAAGCAGTGCAAATTCTCTTACAGTTCTCTCTTACATTTAGGTTAAGATTGAAAAATAGGTAATTCAAATAAAAAATTTTAATCTTTCACTTCAGCTTTAAATACAGCTTATTTTCTCCAAAATTTAAGAGGGCATCACAGGGTATACAATAAAAGTAATGCAAATAATTGACAGTTCCTGAAATTAATTAAAAAAATCAGTTAAAACTGTAAATTCTGGTGATTGACATATTTTTATCTTCACCATGGCCAAGATTGAAAGAGGGGCCTTGAGAAAAACACTATTTCTCTGCATTTTTATCTGACTTGAAAACAGTGTGAACAAGCATGGTTTACATTCAGTTGTAAAATGAGCTACTAAACTGATGACCTAGAAAATTTCTCCCAGCCATAAAATTCTGAAATCTTGGTACCACTGAACCAATTGTAGGCAAGTCATCTGACTTTGCCTCGATTTTCTTATCTGTAAAATACAGGGCTTGTTCTTCTTACAAGGGAAGGTGGTTTAAAATACAGATGCCAAGGGCCGGCTGAGTGGCTCAGTTGGTTAAAAGCTTGCTCAAGAGTGTGAGCTCTGAGTAACAGCAGTTCGAGTCTCGGCCCGAGCTGAGCTGTCAACAGGTGGCAGGATGGCTCAGCTAACAACAACAACAAAAAAAACCCCAAAAAATACAGATGCCAGGCCCATGCTCCTAAGGCTTGGCTAAGACATCTGTTACTTTTATAATAAATAGTGTCATCCTGATGTACACTCCTACTTAGAGAACCAACACACTAGATTATGCTTAGGATCCAGCTCTACAACCCTAAAATTGATAAAATGGGGAAGTAGAGATTTCATTAAATTATCCAGCTGATAGGCTTAAAATAAATGAGTCAGTGTATCACTTTCTTTCCCTAAAACCCTCCATTCAGAGAAGAGCTCGAAATTAAGGCTAACATGCCAATTGGATAAAAATTTCAAAACAGATTTTAATTTCAATTTTCCAAATTATTTCTTCAGATTTTAAATAGAACACAATGGTGGGACAATATTCATAGTTATAACTTGCTTCTACAAGATATCCAAAATAAGTGCTGATGTTAAAATACAGTAGCATGTCATTTTTTCACTGACTCAAATTATAAAGTTACCCCCCAAGACAAGCGACATAACTTCCTACGCTGCAGAAATGATCTATAACACAGAATACTATACCTGCAGCGCGTTTGTGGCCCATGCTTCATTCAAGGGCACTTCCTCCTCTGATCCTGGGAAGTGGATGTGGTGATGTATCACTCCCCTATCTGTGGAGTCATTTAGATTCCGTGACTCTGTTGATGCCCAGCACCCCCAAAATAATATTGTCAGTTCCCAACAAAGGGATACAAAACTGGGCTTTCGGAGAATATCATTTTCCTTCATCTTGCTGGATTTTGTTTGTAGGCTCTCATTTAATTCCACACGGCTTCAAAATGACTTCACATTTGTTACCAAATCAATGGCACAATTTTACGGTGTATTCCATTAAAGAAATATTACTTGGTTTGAAGAGGCCTCCTGGCCCCAATGTGTTCTCTATTGCCCAAGGCAAGCTGAAAAAGTGGATCAAGATTTTACATAAAAACAAAGTAAATGGACAGAAGTGCACAGGAAACCTTCAATAACATTCACATTCTGCTAAATTACTACCACTAGGAGTTTAAGTCTAGTAAGCGTTTTCAAGAGAAAAGTAGTAAGATATCAAGTGTCATTCAATATTATTTTATTTCATATTAATTTTCTGATACTAAATGAGTGTCTCAGTCATTGCCCTATGTCCTGGTGAACATTGTCCTAGAATTCAATACTTTTGAAGAGTTACATATAATCCTCACTCAGATTTGACAGTAGAAATTCAGCTTCTTTCCCCTTGCCTTTAGTCATTTCAAAATACAGTATCCCCTTAACCATTTCATTATCAACTTATTCTATCTGGAAAATCGAGCATTGCTTCTGCAGCTCAAAATCATTGCAATATTTTATGCCACTCTGAAATTTAAAAAAAGAGCACCTTTTACAGCTGAGAAAGTAGTGTGAACTTTTAGATCTCGTTTCTGTCTTCGATTAAGTAAAACTCCCGAGAGAAAGAAACCACACTGACTCAAGAGTCAGACTGCCTGTGTCTCCCTACTTATTACGTGCGGTGTGATTTTTGGCAAGTAACTTAATTACCTTGCTGTACCTTAGTTTCCTCATTTGAAATATGGGATTACAATTGTACCTGCTTTAAAAGATTGTTATGAGAATCAAATAAACTAATATGTAAAGCCACACGGCACACTTCAAGCACATACACATATACTCAACATACACATATGTTAACTATTATTATTACTTTGTTTTTCTTAGCTCCAAATTCTCATACTGTTTCACATGTGTACACAATGTTTGCACAACTAAAATACTACCTACCTGAGGACTGGGACCACATTTTAAATATCTCTGATGTTTCCCCCATGGTATCTAATATTCATTCAATAAGTAAACATTAACCTATTCAGTATATATTATTATATTAGACGAACAAGGAAATTCTCAAACACAGTATTGTATAAATATATATTCCCTGACCCCAGTAGCCTGTATTTTGGGTGGGAAAATATAGGGAAGAATATACAGCCATAAAAGATTAAATGCCAAAGTATGTGCTATAAACAGCTAAAATTCAAAGGGCTCATTGTGGGCTACAGACTGTGGAAAGCATAAGGCTGTAGTGGTCCTGCCCTAAAGTTATGTGGGATCTCCACCAGTGGAAAGAAGCGAGAAGACAATTCCAACGTATTTTTGTTAATTTCACAAATATTCACTGAGCACTTTCCTTATGCCAGGCGCTGTTCTAGATTCTGGGGATATGGTTAACGAGTGACACAGAAAAAGTCCTGGCACTCTGGAAGTATTAAAGGGTACTTCATGCGACAGCCGAGTTTTGAAGTGAATGAGAATAACGTGTCTTCCAATCTGATGAAGCACATCACTTAAATGCCTTACAAGCTGGAGCCAATGCTGGCATTATGGGTCACCCCGGCTTTCTAACAATGTGTTATAAACACACAAATGGCTACCATGAAAAATTCAATAACTTTTCCATGTACTGTATTCTAAATGTTCCACTGTTTCTAAAGCACTTTAATGGGATATTCTCCATATTTCTGGATACAAACAACATATAAGAGATTTACAAACACATACAATATACAATGTTATCAGAACAGTTTTCATAATAGAAGCTGTAATGGTCCAGTTTGTAAATTTTATCCAAATGAAACCTATTAATGCTTGCTTTTCTGTATACCCTTGGGCTTCGTCCCCCCACCCCTCCCACCCACGCCCTTCTTTACTTCAACTACTATTGGCTGCCTACAAAAATCAAATATGTACTAGGAGAGTGCTTGAAGATGCATGTGGTGGCAAGGATCAGTTAGCACAATGGGTACAAGTATTAACTCCAAAAGAAAACAAGTGCACCTTTTTCTTCATACATCCTCCCATCGATGACAATTCTCCACTCATCCCCTCCCCAAAGAGAATGCCCTTAGGTAAAGGAACCCTCTTGTAAATACTGATTGGCAAAGCATTCTTAATCTTTTCCTCTCCAATGATGGACCACTAGAATCAGAAGATCGGTTAAGTCCAATATGCTCTAATCACACATAAGACATTTCCAAGCACTTCCCTCATCCTCTCCAGTCCTTTCAACTTTTACTCTCACAAGGTGCAAACTTAGATCCATCATTCTCATCATGGTTATACCTATATAAATTAAATTTTATCTGTGAAAACAAAGTCAAAATAAACTTGATTATGGAAGTCAAAACTACTGAATTAAATCCAATCAGAAACAACTTCTTAATGCACAAACTACTAGACTGGACATTGAATGTTTAAGATATTTACAGGCAAAGTGAAAACAGATAGAACCCCTACAATGTAGATAATCTAACATTCTTAACATTCACATACCCATCAATGTTAGATTCATCAACAAATAGCCAACCGACTGTTTCTTATTTCCTTGGTTTGGTATTGGAAAATTACTCTTCCCTATTTCATGGTCATTTGTTAACCCTTAATTAGGAATGTCACTTAGAAATTAAATGTGGAAAGAGGGAGCCTTTCATAAGGGGATATAAAGGCTTTCCTAAAATTTACCTTTTTCCAAAGTCCAAGGACAGCGTGCTTATTGGGAGACAATGATATGTAATGGGAACTTAGATAAATAAGAGACACAGGGCTTTGGAAACTATTGAATACCCAAAAAAAAAGGAACTAATTGCAGTTCTATGCAACTTTAAAGCCATTTTCCAACTTGAAAAACACATTAATTTAGTCAACAAGTCATTTTATTGAATATTGCCAGCACCCTTATTTTACAAAAGCGGAAACAGAAGTAGTAACGTACATATTCCACATTTGGACACATTCAAATCAAAGTTATGTATTCAAATATTTTTGGGTAACCTATGCTTATGCAAAATGTTATCCTGGAATATTACATGAGATTAAAGCATGTAGACCATTTGGCACAAGCCTGGCAAACAACCAGTACTCAACATTGTCCTTTAATATTGTTCCTAATTTTCCACCTTTATAGTCAAAGTAAATTACTATAAAATTATATATATTATGTATATATAAGCTAACAAGTATTAATACTATAAGTAAAGCCAGTGTATTACTGTACCAACTCATGCTCTTCATCTAGACAAAGGGGAATTTAATTGTAATAGAATGATCCACAAAGAAGCAGAGTGTTAAGTAGCTCCTATCTCTGCTTATTAATTAAGAATACAACCTCTACATAGTCTAGCATGAATTATAATTACCAGTCAGCTGATCCTAGAGAACTAGCTCAAAACGAATAGTTAAGTACACCTCAAGCACGTGCACAAATGGCCATTTATTTGGAAGGCTGCACCAACCACTCAAATCTTATTACTTCAATACCGGTGCTGAAACTCATTACTTGTCTCATGCTGGAAAACACATGTTTCAAGTCCCTACACAAAAATTTTTTAAATATTCAAGTCATTTAAACTGACAATATTACAGCATCCACGACACATCCAGTTTTTTAAAAAAACTTCAATAGTCGCAGCCAACGCATCATTTATTGTGAGAGGGAAAGACCGTTTTGGAGAGCATATGCTTTCTTAAGTAAATATTAAAAGTAACCCTCGCCCTCATTACGAAAAATGAGAATCTTTGTGTTTCCCAGCTTAACCTCGATTGGTGGGACAACGCACAGTCCCCCCCTCCCACGCTGAGTCACGCCTGAGGCGCACCGAAGCGGGGCGGGAAGAGGCACGGAACTCCCGGGTAATGACCTGTCCCCGCTACTTCCCGCCAGGTTTTAGCACACGTGGACTTCCAGGCGGGGGCGACGAGACCTACCGCCACTAGCAGCCCCCGCCAGCCCCAACCCGCCCTGCCTTCCCGCGGGGGAGCAGGGCTCGGTGCCAGGATATCGCGGAGGGCGGCGCGCGCGGCCTGGCGAGGGGCGGAGCGCGGCGGTGACGCGCCACGGGGGAGGGGAAGGGAGCCCGGCTCCACTCACGCGCCCGGGGGCGGCACCGGGGCCGTCGCTGCGTCTCTCCCGTTCAAAAAGTGAAAGGGGGACGAAAGGGGGGGGGAGGGAAAGACCTGGCTCCTTGTCTCATCCGGAAACCGACGGGCCGGCAGGAAATGACGAAGGCAGAGGTCGTCCAGGTCCGTGCGGTAAGCGGTTCCCGCGAGTCCGGCCCCGACTCCGGTGGAAAGGGCCCCGAGCGGAGCAGCCTGGTCTCCTGCCGCCTCCGGAGCGAGCAGCGTGAGTGGACCCGCGTCCCTGCGCCTCTCGGGCCCCGATCTCGCGTCACCCGGCCCCGCCCTCCGCCCGCGCACCGCCCCGCCCAGGGCTCTCGAGGGGGAGGGGAGGGTACGGGAGGGGACCCGCCGCCCGTCCCACGCTCCCAGTCCCGGCCCTGGAGGCTCCCTCTACCTTCCTCGCCCTTGCTCGGAGCTTCTCAGGGTCGTAGGGAATCGTGGGGCTCAGAGTTCCAGAAACGCAGACAGGAAGTTGAAGCAGCCGCATCTGCCGCGCGAACATCGGCCGGGCGCGACGGCCCCGGGGTGGTTGGGGTTTAGCGGGAGTGTTGTCAGATTGAAACACAGGCAGCCTACGAGCGGCGAAAACGCGTAAGATCTCCCGGCAGCGCTGCAGGCTCCTGCCTGCGGCCACTTGAAAAAGGATTATGTTCCATACCCGCTTGACTGGATTTCTTTCTGGGAGGAGCAGGTCGCACAAGATTGGGGTCAGGGCCCGAAGAGTTAAGGTTTGGGAGTCAAATGCATGTGACAGCCCTCCCCCTCCATTCCCTAGATTGTGACTTCAGGCGAGTTATGCTGTATAACCACCACCATCCCAGTTGCTTCTGTGAAATGGAGCTTTCGTGCCTCCCAGCAGAGTGATGGTGAAGACTAAATGAATATGTGGACTGCCCAGCACTTTTAAGCCCTCAAACGTGAATTGCCTTCCTCCTGTTGGTGTCTTCCTGCTGGAGGCCTATTAGCTTGTAGCCTTCTGTGTCAGGAACCCAAACCTTTAGTATTTCAGAGGCTTGAGAAAGAAAATCACATTTATGCAGTGGATTGTTTTATAAGGAAGTCTTGGAACTGTATTTGACTCTAATCTGAATTTGTATCAAAATAACAAAGCTCTAAGTGAGAGACGACAATGATAACATGAAGACACAAAGACAAGTGATACTCAATTTTAGAACCACTAGACATGGTATCAGGAACCGGAACCCCCAATCAGGAAACTGATTTTAAAACTTAGGATGTAGCCACTTGATCCCTAGAAAAGTTCTAGTTCTCAACCTAAAAGTTTATCAGACTAAAACCAAATATAGTTGTCATATTTTGGCAACTTTATCTCTGGATACTAACGTTTACCTGGAACTTCATTCAGCTCATCCTAGCATCTCCTTACTGGAGTTGTTCACGCATTACCGTACAGGAAAAATATGTGGGGAAAAGTTCAGTTTCCTCAAATGACAAGTTTGAGAAATCGAATCATGATCCAAGCACGTGGCTAGCTACATTAGTGATCTTAATGAAACATTAACTTGCCAGGAATGAACCATTGTAATGCCCCTGGGCGTTTTGCTTTAGATTCAAGAGGAAGGCTGTTATGTAGTGACACTCAGCAGGTGTATGTGTGTACACTTGGTTAGACTGTGACATGCTGGAAGGGGTTGGCCATAGTTCAGGCCACATGTGAGCCGCGGGTCTGTACTGTGATTTTTGGATAAGACCATTCCTTATTCCTGGCAGTCTTACAAAGTCATGCCACTGGTCATGATGGAGGACTGGGCAGGAAAGCCTACCCTCAGTGCAAATCTTTCACAGTGACACTACTGCAAATAACTCCAGTACACATCCCTGGAACTGGAATAGTACTGTCATTGCATACCAATGATGTTGTATTATATAATGTATGTTATATAATTCACGTTAAAGTTTTACCATCCGGGTCAGCAGTCATTTGAAATCCTCTGTAATTAAAGACTGGCGTATTTGGGACAGGAGGAAGACAAGCTCTGTTGGAATGCACCATTTATTGAGTGGCACATGAACAGAATTTTGTGAAAAAATGAAGCCAGAAATTAACTTGGCTCACATCCACGTAAGTGTTAGAAAACAGGCAGGAAACACTTTCATAACTTGTCACTTAAATGGCACCTGCAAAATGTTCTAGTGAGCATTACTGTATGTTTCCTGTTTCTTCCCTAGTTTGTTAATAACCCCAATCCTGAAAGCTACCACCCTTGCTCCATAATTATTCAGGGCCTTCAGCAATTTCTCAGATCAGACATCTAAAGTCATCTCTTTTTGCCAAACACAGTCATTGTTATTATTTTACATTTTGGCACCAAGAAAATTCTAGATTTCTTAAATCATAAGGACACTTATTAGTCTCTGATCTTCTAAAAGTTTCCATTTCTAAAATAGGCTGATTATTTACTATAAATGTAGTTATATTTAGGAAACTCTGGAGTTCAGTTTTAAGGAATAAGAATTGAAACTTTGAATATGCCAAATCCCCCTGTACCTCTTATTCTCTTTAAAAAAAAAAAAAATGACAGCCAGACTTTAATATGTAAGAATTGGGTATGGTCTAATGTTTAAATAAAATTTAGATCTTTCATCCATAAACTTTTATAATTTAAGGTAAGTTCTGTTTTTATTATTCCCTGGCTCATTTTTACAAGACCAATCTTTATATTTATCAGATACCAGTAGATGTTTCCAGAGAAACTATTCTTACCTTCAGTGTCTAGAGTTTAAGTTAAATGCCATTCATGATATTCACTTTATTATAAATGAGTACAGTATGTCCCTAAATGGTCTGACAAAGACTTCAGATGTAGAATGCCTAAAAAATTGCAAAATAATTTCTTGGACATTTCAGATACTCTTTTTCTTTGTATTGGAAAATGGTGGTCTTATTTTTAGAAACTGTAGTACAGTTATCACCTATCATTTGTTCAGTTTTTCTTTTTTTTAATGGAATGTCTGAAATAACACCTCTGGATTTCTTTCACATATTAGGTCATTTTACTTAAGACTTACCTTTTATGTCCAACACAGGGAAGGAACTTTCTCTTTAAGGAAAAATTCAGTTACCTTCCCAAACAAATAAGAAACCGTTACTCTTTTACTTGCTATTTGATATACTTGCTATTACCACTCTTACTTTCTGTGGGAACGTCAAAAGAATGCATTTCCTTGAATAGAAGTCACAGCTGTGTAAATAGCAAAAAGTAATTTTTTATCCCATAGCTTCTTTCAACCATGTTTGGCCAGTAGGCCAAAACTTGATGAAGCTCCCAACGTTTTCCAGTTGCATGGGGAGGAGGCATGTAGAAGAGCATTGTTTCGGCTGTCACATCTTTTCTAAACTGCTGTCATGAGTGCAACACTATTGTCTTATTCTCTTAGCATCACAGCCAGTTGTTTGAGTCTGTTTCAAGTATTCAGTTGCTTTAATCTGGATAATAGTTACAGTTTAGAAACTGTGCAATGATAATTCAACCTGGATCCTTTTAGTAATATGACTTTTTAATCCCAAATTTTAACCTTTATGTAGAAGCCTTAATGTTTCAAAGTTGAAAATAAGGGGAAATATGTTATATGCCTAGACCAGGAGTTGGCCAACTTTTTCTTAAAGGACCAGATTATTAATATTTTGGGCTTTGAGCGCTGTGAAGCAAAAGTCAAGGATATTATATTGGTATTCATAACCATTTAAAATGTATCCATTTAGAAATGTAAAACCATTCTTGGCTCCTAGGCAGGCTGGAGTTGGCCAGCAGGCCATATGTTTGCCAGCCCTTCTCTAGACAGTTGTACCACCACTCACTAAAAAAACCCCTGCTCTCTCTTCTGTCTTACAGCCCCATGCCTGAGGGTTACGGAGTGATGGGTGATGATGGCTCTATCGATTACAGCGTGCATGAAGCCTGGAATGAAGCCACCAACGTTTACTTGGTAGTAATTCTCGTTAGCTTTGGTCTCTTCATGTATGCCAAAAGGTAAATCTTTGAGTATCCAAGGGTAGATAAGAAACTGGGTATTTAAAAGTTTTGCAAGTTTGTCTGTTTGTTTTATCTCGATTAAATGCACAAAAATAACTTCATCAGCATTTTTTGTTCCTGCTGTGAAAGCACTGTCACTTGGGTCTGTCCTCGAGCTCAGAAACCATGGTTTGGCTTTGAAAACCCCATTGCTTTAATAGAGAGAGATTTAAGTGCAGTTCTTGGCACCCAGACCAACTGCTTTGTACTCCCATTCTATCATTTCTAATACAAATCAATTTTATCATCTGGCCTACGTTCACTGTTACCCTTGGATGATCACATTTTTTTTTAGCCTCATCCTTGAAATGCCGAAATGCTAATCTCTTATGTGTTCGGTAGTTCTCTCTTCACACATTTTAAGCTTTCGCTTCTGTTTCTTATGCATGACTATATCACAGCACTACTTCAGCAATATTGATATTATCTGATTGCTTATTTGTTTATTCCACAAAATCTTCAGTCAGCCTTGAGAACAAGAACCATTAACCTATGTGTTCCTAGTGTGCCAGATGTGTAAATCCTTAATATTTCCTACATTAATTCTAGATGTTGTAGCAAAATTTAACTGTTCTTTTCCACACTCGCTGGCTCCTTTAAGTACAGTTAAAAAAAAAAAAAAAAGGAGGGGTGCTTTGAAGAGGAAAAGCAGTATTAGTTGGACCGAGTTGCTTCTGCTTATAGCCATGTGCTTCATAGTGTCCTCTACCAAAGAAGATAGTTGAAAATAATTAGTACTCTAAAAATAATTGATGTTTGGCCTGGAGAATTGTTTAGAACCTACACTTTCTCTCAGATATGCAGTCTCACCCTTCCCTGCCTTCTGACCCCTGGAGCAGCTGGGCCACTGGCCACCTAGACTTTAGGGAGTGGGTGAGAGAAGGCTCCACATATCATCACTGGCCCACTTGCAGGAAACAGCTTTCCTCTAAAAATAGCCACCGCCTCCTTCCTAACCCACTGTTTTAAAAGCAGAGGCACACTGTTGTTAATTTTAAATAGATGGCCCCACTAAGGCCATGCTGTTGTATTGGAGAAATATGTTTATTCATTATTTTCCAAAATTAAGGTCTGCTCACATTCTGTTTATTGTTGAACCCAGAAATTTAGCTTTATTTGGATGACATGAGAGAGAGGGAAAAAATCAGATACTTACTTGTTTATGCATTTTTCCTTATAATATTTGGCTTTTTGCGGGGAGGGAGCAGAGGCACAGTAGAGGAACAGTCACTTTGTTGTATTAAGTGGATGTGTTCAGCTACTTTCTTTTCTTCCTTATAGCCCTGTTGCTGTATTTGTACAGCTTCATACTATTTAGTGAAAGAAAGAAGACTTGAGCCAAGGAAGCATCTCACAGAGACAAAATAAGGATGGATTCCTTGCCATTTAAGTCCTTTTAATGTAGTTTCTGATTGCAACGGTCATGAGAATATTACAATCCTATAGATGTTAATACAGGTCTCTCTCTTCTGCATTGGTTTTGTGTTTTAGGAATAAAAGGAAAATTATGAGAATATTCAGTGTGCCGCCTACAGCAGAAACTTTGTCAGAGCCCAACTTTTATGACACAATAAGCAAAATTCGTTTAAGACAGCAACTGGAAATGTATTCCATTTGTAAGTATATTCTGTGTTGAACTATAAGCATGTTTAAAATAGATTTTTTTTCTGCAATTGAGTCCAGCTAGCAAAAGGTTATCAGAAATAGTTGATAATGAAAACTTAGTGCCTTTTTCAGATGCTCAACACAGTAATATTAGCAAAGACAGATTTGTATGAAGTTAATGCTTCAGGACCCTGTACTTCCATGACCCTGAGAAGAGCCCTAGCAGGGTGTTCGTGAAATCGTACTTTTGTAAATTTTGCAAACACTAACTATTTTAATAATCAGTTAAGATTGCTATCTCCTCTTACTCTAATTTGCCCTCCTTTGCACTTCTCCACATGTGGAATGGCATTGAAGTGGCCAAGAGCATTTTGGGGACCTAAGGAGAAATCGAGTTGGAGCTACTTCTAGGTGGGGTTTGAATTTTGTATTTGTGGAGTTTACAATCACTCCATTTACAAGTAAACTGCATGCCAAAGCAGTATAGGAATGGCTTCTAGGAATATGGCATGTGATATCAGTGTGCGAGGCCAGAGGTCATTTCTCAGTATTTATATATTCTATAGTACTGAACACAGTGATTATGCAGGTAGTGGAAAAGAAACAAAGTCCAAAATGTACAGAGCCAGAGGAATTGTATATCTAAGCCACAGGTGTTTATGCCACCATTTGAAAGAATGAGGTGTGGTTTCTGTTCTGTATCATTAAGTGAGACAAGCAAGATATACCATATTTTGCTGTGTATAATGTGCTCCCATGTATAATATGCTCCCGTGTATAATGCACACCCACATTTTTGGCCCAAACTTGCAAGGAAAATAATCTTTCGTTTTAATTTTTTAATTCAAATTTTATTTGTTTACATTTAGGTACTTGTTTTTTGTATTATAAAGGAATTTTAGCATTTGTTTTTTAACATAGTATGGTACAAGAAATTTTATGTAACAAATGATTACAAAACACAAGAACAGGTACAAGGTCCAAGAAATTTTATGTACTGGTAACAAATTTTTGATGTTTACGCATCATGGAAGGCCAAGAACTCTTCGTCATTGCAAGTTCGTCATAAGTTCAACAAAACTGATTATTGTATTCTAGGGTATTATTTTGCATACAGATATTGTTATTGATTTCTAGAGTTACACTTTTAACTCATAAGCAAAAATAAAAGAATTAAAAACATTTATATAGATACAGAATTAGGACTACTCATGTATAATACGCATCCTTATTTTTTCCTCACAAATTTGGGCAAAAAAGTACACATGTGGCAAAATACAGTAATAGCATATATACTAAGATGTCACTCTTTTAAAATCAAATGACCAAAGCATCTATGTGTAATATAAATGTCCTATATAATTATGCAAGCATAGTGGAAGGCTTGGAGAGATACACATCAAATTATTAACACGCATTACCTTGATGGAGACATGGTGGGATTTAAGGAAAAAAGACTGAACATTCTTAAAAGAAAGATTTCTACAGTAAGAACTTGAATGTGTGTGTGTGTGTGTGTGTGTGTGTACGTGTGTGTGTATGTACACGCATACAAAGAAGCAAGAAGTGAAATTTTAGGCAAAAAGTAGAAAAATATGTACATATATACTTTACACAAGTGGAACCTCTAAAAAATTCTTCAACATAAATTTTATCCTAAGTACTGGTAATAGCAGTTTCTTTGGGGAAGGACTGGGTAGGTAGCTGTAGGCCTGATCAGGTAGGAGGCAGATACACTTTTCACTATTTCCTCTTTTGTTTCTTCTGCTTTTTGTACCATATGCATGTTACCAGTTCAAAGTAAGAAGTAAAACTAACATAGCATTATTCACAATAACCAAAAGGTGGAAACAGTCCAAGTGTCCTTGACAGATGAATGGATACACAAAATGTGGTCCATAAAGACAGTAGAATATTCCTCAGCTTTTAAGGGGAAGGAAGTTCTCACACCAGCTAGAACACAGATGAACCTTGAAGACATTGTGCTTCATAATTATTTTCTTATAATGAAATGAAGTAAGCCAGTCACAAAAGAACAAATATTGTATGATTTCACTTATATGAGGTAAATTCATACAGACAGAAAGTAGAATGGTGGTTGCCAGGGACTGGGGGAAGAGAAGATGGGGAGTTAGTGTTTAATCGGTAGAGTTCAGTTGGGGATGATCAGAAGAGTTCTGTGGATGGATGGTTGCACAACAATGTGAATGTAGTTCATGCCGCTGAACTGGACACTTAAAAATGGTTAAAATGGCAGATTTTGTGTATATTTTCCCATAACAAAAAAATTCCTTACAAAAATAACCTAATTTAAGTATCCAAATGTGGAGCCAAAGATCTGTATGGAAAATTATAAGGAAAGAATTAAGTTTTCATCGATGCCTAGTTAAAATAGAAGTTATCTCCTAGCAGTGATGTGTTCAGCAGTGTAGAATATACTATTATAAACCCAGTGTACAGTTGTTTTCTTTTTGGATGGGAAGGGCATACAATAAAATTTATCAGAATTCTGTGTTTGTAAGGTGTCCTAGTTTTCTATTGCTGCTATAACAAATTACCACAATTTCAGGCTTAAAACAGCACAAATGAGAAGGTGAAGGTATTAGAAAGTACAAATTGGCAGTCACAGAATAGTCACAGGGATGTGAAATACAATAAGGGGAATATAATGAATAATGTATAGATTATGGGGTGCCAGATGGGTACTGAACTTATCGGGGGATCACTTCATAGACTGTGTAGATGCGTGACTATGGCGCTGTACAGCTGAAGCTGACTCTATATATAGTCACAGGATGTAAAGCACAGCATAGGGAATATAGTCAGTGGTATTGTAACAGCTATATACGATGTCAGAGGGGTAGTAGACTTTGGGGGGAGGGGGTTATCACTTTGTGAGGGGTGTAAATGTCTAAGCATGTTGTTTTGTACACCTGAAACTAATATATATAAATGAATGAATAAATAAATAAATAAATAAATAAATAAAATATACACGATGAGAAGAAAAAACACAAATGTGTTAACTTACAGTTTTGTAGATCGAAAGTCCTACAACAATCTCACTGGGATAAAATCAAGGTGTCAGCAGGGTTCCATTTCTTTCTGCTCTAGAGGATATCTGTTTCTGCCATTTGCAGCTTCTAGAGGCTACCCACATTCCTTGCTTTGTGGCACCATTCCTCCAACTTCAAAGCCAGCAACAGCATTGCATCTTTCTGACCATTCTCCCATTTTTGTATCTCCCTCTCTCGCTGAACTCAGCCAAGAAAGGTTCTCTCATTTTTAAGGGCCCATGTGATTAAATTTGACCAGGTTGTTGAGGGTAATCTCCTCCTCTCAGTGTCCTTACCTTAATCACATCTGCAAAGCCCCCTTTGCCCTGTAAGGTAACATGTTCACAGATTATGGGGAGTGTGACATGGATATCTTTGGAAGCCATTATTCTTATAAACAGTGAGTATATGTGTGAGTTTGCACATTTAATGAATTCCATCACATTGGATCATTCTCAGTGTTTGTGACATACCTAGTTGTGAAAAAGTCTGACAGTTCAAGAGGAAATAGCAAACAAAATTATTTTTCTTAAAGAGGACTCCCAAAGCTGTATAAGCTTTAGGCCACAAAAATCTGGATTCACCCTGAGTAGAATAAATAAACAATATCTCTTTCTTGGTTAGGAAAAACTTAATGAACCGACTGAAAGTTTTAAAGCTAAGCAGTGAGTGACATTCATAAAGATTTTAGCCCTATACTTGCCCTTGTTTCAGGTTAAGACCATTGTTCAATAAACATTTCTCGGAAGTACCAAGAGCATATAAAATTGCATATCTGTCTTCTAGTTTATATTAATGACAATGTTCAATAATAGGACTCTTAGGCTTATAAGTTAAAATATAGTCAAACTCCTTATGATGTGGGCAAAAGCATTATTTTATCTTACTATGGAAATGGGGAACAATAAAGAAGGAAGTTACAAAATGTTAATTTAATAGCTTAATGTTTTCCCTATAATTTAAAGCTCTGAATCATCCTGATATACAAATAATATACATATAAAAATGGATATCAGCAGTGTTGAGAAATTAGAGAATCACAAAGTATAAGTTTCCTCATGAAAAAAGAATGTTTAATTTTAAGCAAATTCTTTACTGAGAATCTTGACTGATACAATGTTAGCTAGTAGTTATTTTGCTATTTTATTAATTTTATCTTTTTTCCTTGTTTTTTGTTTTGTTTGTTTTTAATAGCAAGGAAGTATGACTATCAGCAGCCACAAAACCAAGCTGACAGTGTACAGCTCTCGTTGGAATGAAATCTCAGACAATGAGCAACACAAGTAATTGTTAAACAGCACAGTAGCAAGCTCCTAATTCTACTAAATCATGAACAGCATTTTTTTAAACTTCTGTCTCCATAAAATCATTTTACTTGTGACTTTTTCCCAATTTTTTGTGTTTTGTATTGCTTTTCTAAATTGCGTCTCCAAGTCGGTTGTTACACAAATAAAAAATGGCCAGAAGGCCTGAAAACAGTCTGCACATACCTAGGAAGACAGACTATAACCAGAATGGTGATTTTATGTTGTGAAGACCTTCGATTTTTTTCAGGATACAATCAGTCAGAAATGAAAACCCATCTTGGATGCAAGAATCCAAAGCTTATGCCACTATGATTTGAACATTTTTGCAAAATTAAAAAATGAAAATCCAGTCATTGGAATAATTTTGTCTCAGACTGTATTCTGTGATGGAAAATGGGCTAATTTGTGTTCTTACTGTTGTTGTTACCACCCTTTAATTGAGTTAACTATTTGCTTCTTCAGAACTTGCACAGTAGACCATCTTTTCTGCGTCAAGAAGCACACCCATCTGCTAATTGTGGAAGCTTTCTGTGACTGGAATTTTTTCCCCTTTAATTGTGTTCCTACGAATTGGTTTGCTTTTTATTTTTATTTTTTTAATCCCATAGTTTTATTTCTACCACAAGGGTCTTTAGGCCATATTGGGGCCATGCTGCTGAATAAATGGGCACCTGTATATTGGAATTAGCAACTTGGTTTACAGTCATGGGACTATTGATGTTTAATGTAACTGTCTGGTTTCTTACGCTTTTTTAGCATAAGCTTCCCTGAAGACTCTCATATCTTGTACCATTTCATACTGTACATTGAAATGCTTTTACCTAACTTTTAATATTTATTTAGATAAAAGCTGGTTGGAGGTAGTGGCAAGGAAGTTTAACTGTCCATGTAAATGGCCAAGAATTAGTTTTTGAATCAGAGCTATTCTTAATTTTAAGAGTTAGAGTTAATATTTCAGCATTACTTTCTTTTCCCTTTATAATTGTGAAATAAAAGAATATAAATTTAAATGAAAAGGTTTAGACCAAATAAAATCATTCAGGGAAACTGCATTTACTTTTAAAATTTATATCACACTCAAAAATGTATATGTTGTATAAGGTGAATTGTTGACCAAATGGAATAATTCTTTGTTAACTCACAAATGAGTGAATGCGCCACCTATACATAGAATGAAAAACCATGTATAATTCAAAGGATTGTAAACAGTTATACTCACAGACTGGGGGGAGCAGAGTGGCAAGGAGACAATCTACTTAAACTTTGCTTTGCTCTTAGGAGAACCACTGTATATTTCCATGAGCAGAGAATGTAATCAGGACCAGGAACAGTTTACTTGCTGTCACTGACTTGTGGCACAATCTGGACAAATTACAAAACCTGGCTAACTCAGATGACTTGTAAAAATAGTGTACATAAATAAATAAAAATTACTGTGATTGGTTTTATTTGCATCCATTAGATAGAGGCAGTCATAACTGAAAACTGGTAGATCATTTGGTGAGCATCAAACCTTGCCAAATAAGAGAGAAAAATGAATTCCTCTTTTTTGTCTAAAGCTAACTGATGGGAATCACTCACCCCCACTGGCAGGAACAACAGAGAGCCTGCCTTTGAAGTTTCTTCTCTGCTTCAACAGCTGAGCTGGAAAAGGGGTGGAAGGGTGCACACTTCAAAGCGGCACCAGCTGATTGTTCTGCCTCTGCCCCCCAAATCCACCAAGGATTCAATGAAATTATTTTCTTTGGAAGAAAAATGGAATGACTAATAAACTGGTAACTAACACGTTCTCCTTTTCCTTGTTTCTTCTCTTTTTTTTTAAAAATGCATAAGATGTTCAGCAGTAAGCACCAGTCAGCCTCTATTGATACAAAGCTTGAGTGTGTTAAATAGTTGATGTTTAGCTGATGCACGAAGGGAAGAAGTTGGCCTCTAAAGGGCACAGATGTTTGCCATTGACCTCACACTGTTTCAGGTGGGGTTATTTATATGATTCATCAGAAAATGAAATGCAGAGTTTATGGTAAAATTGGTGTCATAACCAGTCAGAAATGTTTTAAGTATTGAGTAGCAGTAACATAAAACTGGTAATAAAAATAATTTCAGATATTAAGCTAACAAATGTATCTTAGAAAATATAATTAAAGGAACCAAGTAATTCACTCAAGAAATAGTTATGAAATATAAACTCTGCTAGCTAGCCATTTGTGATCTATAGGATATTCAATTCTTATAACAATTGGAATGGGAATAGGTGATGGAAAATTAAATGGAAATAATGGCACTTAATTGCATACCTCTCATCTGATGCAAAATAGGATCGTAGAATAGAGACTGGAGCTTAATCTTAATCTGTTTCCCACTTCATTCCCTAATAAAGCCAGAGCCAAACTTATACAAAACCATAAAGAAAGAAAAATTCCCCACCTCTTTTTATCCCTCTTCAGTCTCCTATAAGTCTGTGTGGGAGAGACAGGTCTTGAATGAGGATTTAAAAGTAAGGATGAGGAACTATGCTGAGAACTAAGGTTTTAAATCCTACTAACTCCTGTAGCACCTATGAGAACTTCCGGCATGTGGTCATGATTCTCCTATTGACCTGTCAACCCGAAATAAATGAGTGGCATTTATCATTGAATTCTATGCTGATGTGTTTTCTACCTTTATTTCATTTAGATGTACATAGTAGAAAACTAAAGCCATTTATATAGATTAGTACCATCCCACATTCTAGGTAGGAAGAGGGGATA